CAAGGGCCCCTCTCTGGGGTGAGAGGTGCGGAGTTATAAGATTGCCACCCTCTTTGAAGTCTCTCTGATCACTGTTAAACTTACTATTTAGATCAAAATAAAGCAAAACAAATAGACCTCCAAAATAGACCGCTTCTTGTGCAAAGGCAGGCTCTGGACAATTTCTATGAGATTCCCATCTCCTCCCTACCAGAGAGAAGGTGGGTTTGAACGAGGGTTGCAGTCCCACACACTCTTCCTGGGCCACAGTAACCCTCTTCAGGCAGCACAGTCTGGGAAGCAGAGAGGGGAATGAGCAGTCTGCAGCAGTCAGGGTGCACTGGGAGGAGCACTTTACCAGAGTACCTTGCTCCCTTGTTCTCCATTTCACAAGGCACTTTAATAGCTCACTCTGTGTCCAGCCCTGTGTCCCCCAGCTGACCACCTCCTCCCCTACTCGCTCAATTCTGCAGCCAGAATCTCCTGGGGCCTCCCAGCGTTTCTACCTGGGTGCTGGGAGTAAAACTCGGGAAAGGCCCCTGTCCCAGGTGCTGAAGCCCTGGACTCCACATTGGAATCTCCAGCACCCCACCCAGGTCCGCAGCCATCTGAGGGACACTATCAGCACTCTAGCCCAGCCCCAATCTCCAGGGCAACATGCAGCGCTGAGCAAAAGTTTGGGGAGGGTGGCAAACCTCTTGCTCACCGCTGTTTTTCTGGACATAGACATCTCTGAACAGCTGGTGAGTTACTTCCCCCAATCCGCCATGCACTCTTCCGCTGACCCACAGTCCAACCCATTTTTATTTAAATGTAGAAATCCACTTATGCTTTCACACACACACACTCTTTTGTGTCGTTCAAAGTAGGGAGAGAGTGTCCCTCTGCCTTGTTCCCCCACTGCACAGAAGCCTAAGCTAATAGTTTGGGAATAAGCCCCCTGCCTCCTATCCTGTGTTGGAGGACACGGCTACATCGACAACTATACCTTTTTCTTGTCAAAAATATCACGTTTCTGAAAAACGTCATTATACCGTACATATTTGTCTGCAACCTGCTCTTCTCACTGAACCATGTCTCTGCTACATCTGTTCTGGCCAGTTCATTCTGTCATCTCATTAACATACAATGTATTGGTCATTATTATATTTCTATTAATTTCCTGTTGATCTTTGCCAATATTCTCTTAAGCCATTTGTCATACATATACTCTTCCCATATTAGGAATGTAAGCCATTGGCTGAGGTATGTTCTCCAAGTCTTGCCTTAAAAGGGCTCAGGGGGCAGGGGGATTGGAGCAAGATGTGAAAGGAGAGGTTGTCCCGGGCCCGAGGAGTGGGTGTTTTGTTGTTTTAAGTCCCTAGGGTCTTATCCTTTTTGTTCTTCAGAGCCAGGATTGAATCTTCTGAGCCTGTGGACAGAATCAGGAATAGAGTGGAGGTAGGAAAGGAAAGTGAAATGAGTTGGAGGAGGGTCCAGGATAAACAAAATAAGAAGAGCAGACACAGCAGGCAGAACCTGAGAGCGTTGCTGAGGCTTGTCTGAGCTACTTTCTTCTCAGTCCAAGTCAGTTTGACTTGGGCAAGTCTTGAGTAATAGTCCTAGGGGAGGGATGAGGACAGAGGGGTAGGCTGAAGGAAGCCCATGCAATCCACCCCCAAAGCAAAGTCTTCTTCCAGGCTCCCAGGAAAGGGCATATCAATGACTTCTCGCTCCCTTTTCTTCTCACCCAGCTCTGATGTTTAACCTCATCAGTAACCTCCTCCACCAACTAGACCAAAGGACTCACTTATCACCAGGAAGGGGACTGCACCAGCTGGATTTCCTGCCCCTTCTCACTGCTCCACCAGAGTGCATCCCTTCCCCCATCCTGCAGGGACTGACCAACCTCTTCGCCCTCACATCTCCCTGCAACCATTCTGTATCCACAGAGGCCATCTTTCACCCTGCCCCCCGCCCACGAGGCAAGTAGTAGGCACCCCCTCCACCCTACTTTATCTAATACTTACTCATCCTCCAGTCTCACCTCCTCAGGAAAGCTCACCATGATCCTCAGACTAACCTTGGTATCCTTGAATGCCTCATCCACCCCCTTCATGCTTCCTTAGAGCCTTTAATGAGATTTGAGACTATATGTTCTTGTGTGATGATTTGATGACTTTGTCCCAGCTAGGCTGAAATCTCAGCTCTTGTTCATCAGTTGCTATGTTTATCAATTCAACAACTATTAACATAGTGATTCTTGTATCAGGCACAATTTGGGAGATGGGAGAGGGGTATCATTGAGAACTAGGACCACTTGATCAGTGGTGGAGAGGGACAGTCATTCACACAATCACACAGAGATCCTGAATAGGAGAGGCCACCTTGCTGAGTTCCCCACGTGGGGCTGCAGGACCACCACCCTGTGAGAAGTTTGAGCTGGGAGACTTCCACCCCAGCCATGTGAATTATGTTCCTTGAAATGTATTTCTGCCCAAAGACTGGCACTCCATGACACTCAATGATTATTTGAGGAATAAAAGGGAGCTGGAAGAACCAAGGCTGAAGTGGACCAGGAGGGATTCTAAGCAGGAATTCTTGAGAATATGTGAGCAAGGACCTCCTTGTGCGCATTCATCTCTCTCTTCTTTGGTCTAAGCGAGTCCTTTCTTTCTGCACTCAATCGCCCATTCATTGACTATTCTGTCCAAGTTAAACATGTCCAGCGTGTACCAATCCCAGGTGCAGGAAGGGTCCCCAGGAGAGCGCAGCCTGTGGCTAGGGAAACTCAGGGACCCTAAGGGGTGTCATTGAGCTCACATGGTGGAAGAGCCAGCATCGATCCACCTCTACAAACCAGCTCCCACCAACTAGGCGGCGAAGATATCACTTCTGGGGGAGGTAGACGCAGCGCATGAGAAGTTGCAGTTGGGAGGGAGAAATATTCTGGCCAGGGGCCACCGGGTGCCTTTTCGCGAACTGGTAGCGATGCCTCCACCACTCCAGACACCCGCCTTGCTAGATGCGCCCCCTGCGGTGCGGGTCAGGCGGCGCTTTCGGGGCTCCGCGCCAGCCAATGAGCGAGGCCTGGATGGGCGTGCCCCTTGAGCCTCGGGCATAAAAGTTCCGCGCACGCCCCGCCCACCACTCTTCTGGTCCTTACACAGACTCAGAAAGAACCCACCATGGTGCTCTCTTCTACCGACAAGAGCAACGTCAAGGCCGCCTGGGATAAGGTCGGCGGCCATGTTGGCGAGTATGGGGCAGAAGCTCTGGAGAGGTGAGGCCCTTTCTCCTGCTCCGACCTCAGGGCTCAACACTAGCCTCGGGGTCTTGCCAGCAACCCCTCGGTGGGCTCCGCCAGGGCTGGCGCCCACATCCCCAAGATCTCAGAGTCCGGATCGCGGACCTGCCCCAAGAGGCCTGCCAGCGCCCTCTTTCAAATCAGAGGCTCACGACCCTGCCCTGGAACACCACCTCCACCCAGCTGCTCACCCTCCTCTCCCCGCAGGATGATCCTGAGCTTCC